AACTCCTAACTCCTCACCTTCTTGGAATCTTAAATTCTTAATATGTCTTGATATGCAAACCGCATAATCATATCAGAAGAACTAAATAAATCACTCAAATGCCTTATACTTTTACATTCAAAAGTACATTTCAAGCCGGTCCTAAATTTTTAGGGTCCATGGCTAATGTAAAATTAGGCCCCTATGTATATAATTTTTTTTCACTTAAGTGCTAGACTCATTCTCATTTTAAAATCAAGATTTAACTTATTCGAATTAACTAAAAATTTAACATTAAAGACAAATAAATTATATGAATTCAAACTTCAATATATAAAAGTCTAAAATAAGAGGATACGCTTGATACATTCAAATCTAATGCATAAACAAGATAAATGCTTGTAACAATTCAATCATTTTATTTTCTTTTTTGACTTCCAAATTGTTGTTTTTTCAGGAATCATTGCTACTTGAAATCAGAAACAGTACAAGAAAATTCAATGAGATTTTAATACTTCAAATAATAAACGAAGAACAACATAAATGGATAGTGTTTGGACATTCCTCCTTACAGACAAATTAAAGTTTTATATATAAGTAAAAATAACTCATTAAAATTACAAAAGTCATACAAACTATGATTTGTTTGTAAGGAGAAATAACTCCTTATATGTAAAGAGTCAAGTATTTTTTACTTTTAATTGAATGCAAACTAAGAACTGTTCTTTTTGGTCAGTTTAGCATCTATCAATGTATCTTTCCGAGTAGCATCCATTGATCATGCATGACGAGTGACGTGCACTTGTCTCCTGGTCGGCAATCAAGTCAAGCCGCCCAGGTCCAAGTCCAATTCGACAAGTAGTTATTTCAGGACCACGTCATTGCTCACAGGTCTTGGTGATGCTTGCTCACACAGTATCAACCCCTTTCCTCATGTTGGCTGCCATTTTTTTTTCTCTCTCTTACGGCCTGCAACTAATGGTCAATTTCGCAGAAAGGAAAAAAAAAGTCGTAATGGAAAAAGCAACTAATCCGATAAAAACTTTATATCTTCAAGGAGAAGAATACACAAAAAGTTCTGTTATATTTACTTGACTATCTATTTTCTTCACTCCTTCCCCATCTTTAAATGAACGAAACATCAACATTCCCCTCCCTCTTCCCAATCTATTTCTGAACCTCATAGGACTGCAGTTGGAATGGTACTTTCTCTTGAGCAATTTTTCTCTTTTTCCCTTTCAACTGAAATAATGATTACTGAAGTGAAATTTTCCTGTCCTTTTCAATATCATGTGAGCAGTAGTATTATTTGAAGTCTTTATATCAGTTCAATTTAAGTTTGAATAGACAATTCGAAATTGAAGTCTTCTCTTTATTAAAGATCTTGTCCTTTCGATAGTTCATACATATGTATGCTCATCATGGGCAGAAGGTAGGTCCACCACCACTGCACGTAGTTAGGTCATCATAAGCATAGCTGTAAGCGTCGGGGCATGTTGACCATATGTAGGTAAATGTCACCATAACAGTGACCTGGGCAGGAAGTAATGACGTAGTTAGGTCCAGCACTGCACGTACATAAACCCATAAGCATAGCTGTAAGCGTCGGGGCATGCTTGATGGAATATCTCAGAGTACTTTGTCGGTGGGCATGTCTCTGCAGTATTTTGACGCGGAGTGCAACAGTACTGCGGCTGATTGAATTTAGCACATGCCCTCAAGCAGGCAGCCACGCTCCCATCAGACCCTTTCTTTTGCAGCTCACTCGGACAAACTGCCACTAGTAAACAATAACCCTTGCGCTACCAAATTTTGCACGACGAAAAATTATTCGTCGCTCAAAGTCACTTTGCGTAACGAAACTTAAAACTTCGTTGCTCAAAACTTTGAGCGACAAAAAACAATTCGTCGCGCAAAGCGACTTTGCGCGACGACAATACATCGTCGCTCAAAGTGACTTTGAGCGACAAAACAATAAACTTCGTCGCGCAAAGTCCTTATAAAAATAAATAATAATAAAAATTCTTTTTTAAAATCTTTGCATGGCGTAAACCAAACATTTCGTCACCTAAACCAATTTGTTTTTGTTTTTTATTTTGTATGCATAACACTTAAGAAATTAAACGGTATATATATTTTTATTAAGTAGCTTTAAATTTATTATTTTAGATCGGATCGGATTTTTATTAGAAAAATATATTATTGTTGTTCGAATTGGGTTTTTGTTAGAAAATATATTTTTTAAATTGACGATCGAATTAGTTCATTGTGTTCATATAGGGTCAAGGAGTGTAGCTGTAAAAAAATCATCAAAATCGGAGTTAAAATAACTGTTAAATCGTGATTTTTCATTTATAACCGTCGAAAAGTTTTGTCCCATTACTTGATCTCTAAATGTTTATTTTTTCCGATTTTTGGCATATATGATTTCGAAGTATAAACAAACAAGTTTGACAGTTGGATCGTTGAAAGTAGTTTTGTTGAATGCATATGCCATCAAAACAATATATTCACTAACAATTAGGAGTTTATTTATACTTTCGTTAAATATAACATAAGATTTTGTGGTATCCACTAGTGTAAATATTTTAAATTGAAGATCAAATTCAGTAATTGTATTCATATAGGGTCAATGAGTGTAGCTGTAAAAAATCATCAAAATCGGAGTTAAAATAACCATTAAATCATGATTTTTTGTTTATAACCGTCGAAAAGTTTTGTCCCGTTACTTGATCTCTGAATGTTTAATTTTTTTTATTTTTGGCGTATATGATCTCGAAGTATAAACAAACAAGTTTAACGGTTGGATCGTTCAAACTAGTTTCGTAGAATGCGTATGCCATCAAAACAATATATTCACTAACAATTAAGAGTTTATTTATACTTTCGTTAAATATAATATAAGATTTTGTGGTATCCACTAGTGTAAATATTTTAAATTGAAGATCAAATTCAGTCATTGTATTCATATAGGGTAAAAGAGTGTAGCGGTAAAAAAATCATCAAAATCGGAGTTAAAATAACCGTTAAATCATTAGTTTTCATTTATAACCGTCGAAAAGTTTTGTCCCGTTACTTGATCTCTGAATGTTTATTTTTTTCCGATTTTTGGCATTTATGATCTCAAAGTATAAACAAACAAGTTTGACGGTTGGATCTTTGAAACTAGTTTCATAGAATGCATATGCCATCAAAACAATATATTCACTAACAATTAAGAGTTTATTTATACTTTTGTTAAATATAACATAAGATTTTTTGGTATCCACTAGTGTAAATATTTTAAATTGACGATCGAATTAGTTCATTGTATTCATATAGGGTCAAGGAGTGTAGCTGTAAAAAAATCATCAAAATCGGAGTTAAAATAACTGTTAAATCGTGATTTTTCATTTATAACCATTGAAATTTTTTGTCTTGTTACTTGATCTTTGAATGTTTATTTTTTCCGATTTTTGGCGTATATGATCTCGAAGTATAAACAAATAAGTTTGACGGTTGAATCGTTGAAACTAGTTTTGTTGAATGAGTATGCCATCAAAACAATATATTCACTAACAATTAGGAGTTTATTTATACTTTTGTTAAATATAACATAAGATTTTGTGGTATCCACTGGTGTAAATATTTTAAATTGACGATCGAATTAGTTCATTGTATTCATATAGGGTCAAGGAGCGTAGCTATAAAAAATCATCAAAATCGGAGTTAAAATAGCCGTTAAATCGTGATTTTTCATTTATAACAGTTGAAATTTTTGTCCCGTTATTACTAGGTCTCTGAATGTTTGTTTTTTGCGATTTTTGGGGTATACGATCTTGAAATATATACAAACAAGTCTGATGGTTGGATCGTTGAATGGTGTGTGTATATATATATTTATTATCTTATTAAGTAGCTTTAAATTTATTTATTTTGTACGTATAACACTTAAGAAATTGAATAGTATATACATTTATTAAGTAGCTTTAACCTTATTTATATTTTAAATCGTAAAATAAAATGATTTTATTTTTATTATTCATAACAATTATTTTTATAAATATTGTGCTACAAACCAATGTTTCGTCTCTCAAAAGTTTGCACGACCAACAGTTCGTCGCGCAAAACTCTAAAAATTTGGGCGGGTACAAAAAATGGGACGCGGGATTTAAAAATATATATATATATATATTTAGACTTTGCACGACCAATATTTTGTGTCGCTCAAAACTTTGCGCGACCAATATATATTTTTCGTCGTGCAAAAATTTGGGTGGGTACCAAAAATGGGATGTGGGATTTTTTATATATAATTTTTTTTAGACTTTGCGTGACCAATATGTATTTTTCGTCGCACAAAAATTTAAAATTTTGGGCGGGTACCAAAAATGGGACACAGGATTTTTTATATAATTTTTTTTAGACTTTGCACGACCAATATGTATTTTTTGTCGCGCAAAAATTTAAAAATTTGGGCGGGTATCAAAAATGGGACGCGGGTTATTTTTTTTGCGCGACGATACACTAATATTCATCGCGCAAAGTGATACGTTTTTAAAATGAAAATAACTCCTCCACCATTTTCTCAATGTCTTTCTCTACTCTTACCTCTCCTCTCTCTTTCCCTCTCCCCAAATCCCACCATTTCTCTCACACTCACTCCTCTCACTTAATCTCTCATCATCTCTCTCTTCACTATCTCTCACTCTCACTCACTCTCTCATCTCTCTTTTCACTATCTCTCACTCTCACTCACTCTCTCATCTCTCTATCACTATCTTCTCTAATTCTCTCACACTCACTTCTCTCTTTCATTCTCACTCACTCTCAATCTTGCCAAGAGGTATATTCTCTCCAAATTTTAAATTTTTTTCATTAATATGTGTTTTTGGAGTTAGTTTTGAGTTTGTGTGGGGTTTGGGGTTGAGTAAAGGGGAGGGATTGGAGTTTGGGTTGGATTTGTGGTATAACAATTTTAGGGGAGATTATCCCTTTTTTTTCGCGACCAATGAAAAAACTTCGTCGCGCAAAGTCTTTTTTCACGATCTTTGCGCGACGGATTCTGCGCGACAAAGTTTTTGTCGCGCTAAAATTTGTGTGACTACAATATATTTTGCGCGACGAAATTCTCTTCGTCGCGCAAAGTATAAAATGTAGTAGTCTGTGTTCACGTCCATCGGGCAACTACCCGTCTTGCAGGTGCCGGTACCGCCTTGTGGAGTCACAGACATGGGCAAGTTGAAGCCATCAACAAGACTAACGTCGTAGTAATCTTGTCCTCCGCCTGCTACAATATTCAATTCCGCTAAAGTTGCCGGCGGAATGGCACCGTTACCGTTGCACGAGACCTGACCAGAGGCACAATCTGCGGTGGCGCAGACGAACTTTCCAGAGGCATCCGCGGAGCATCCAGTTTCGGGCCCAAAAGCGGCCATTCCATGGCACCGGAGTGTATAGCTGGAAGCTAGCTTGGGATGCTAACTCGAACCCTGTGGTTGGTAATTGAAGTTTCCCATAGGTTAGGGTTCCTGGCCAGACCGTGTAAGGGGAATTGTTTTTTAACGAAATTGTCGCTGCATGTGCAACTGCCATGCAAAGTAAACCACACTTAATTTGATGCAGTAATCACAAACCACACTTATTGTGACCAAATATTAAATTAAAACTTTAAGAAAATAAGAAGCTTGTTTACCTCCGAAGGAAAGGATGGTTAAGCTGAGGCTGAGGACTACTACTAGGGTCTTCATCATCGGAATGTCTTAGTTTGCTTTGCTTCGAATTTGATGAACTTGGGCTTTAATTATAAGGGCTTTCATCGGAAACCATGGAAGGACTTTTGCCAGCTAGGTTGAACTTAGCCATTGTGGAAAGCAGAAAAAGGGAAGAAAATTAAAGCAAATGCAATTGCCTTGCGTCTAAAACTTTTGAGGTCCCTTCTTTATAGACCAAGTCACAGCCTCATAAGTAGATGAAGTCATAACTGATCAGGGTCTTCTTCCACCTTGTTAATTTACTTGGAGTCTTCTTCCACCTTTCCAAGTCTTTTTTATCACCCCCATAATTTGGAGCTTCTGGCACGCACATTAATTGAACATGTTTTGGTCAAGATCTTTGTAAGCTTCACATTACAAAGAAGTTAACGTCTTTTATACGGTATTTGGAGCTTCTAGCACGCACATTAATAGTGCAATTTTTCCCTTTTGCCCTTTCAACTAAAATAATGATTATTGAAGTGAAATTTTCCTGTCCTTTTCAATATCATGTCAACAATAGTATTATTTGAAGTCTTTATATCAGTCCAATTTACATTTGAATAGACAATTCAAAATTGAAGTCTAATTTCCTGTCCCTTTCAATATCATGTGAACGATAGTATTATTTGAAGGTTGTCCTCTTGTTTATATTTATTTATTTATTTTAATTTGTCAAAAGCGTAGAACTTGTTAGTATTGATTTTGTGATTGGCATTCCCTAGATACCAAATAGACTAAGTATAGATGGTAAATTAGTTGTGATGGTGGCTGTCTAAATTCCAAGATATGCTCTGAAGGCTCATATGTCGACCGACGATCACTGAGGTAAATTCTTCATTCAATCATGCATCCTGATTGTGGTATTTCAAGCATTATTTCAATATCACAATCTAATTAACATCATGATTAAGAAGACTTCTTATTTTAAGAAAGATTGATTTATTTTATAAATTGATTTCCAGTTTTGAACTCCAGCACACCACGAAGACGATGAGAAACCTCGACGACCAAACCAGCGCCAATTCCACAGAGAATGTTGTGACTGCAGACCAAAGCCTTATTTCCTAACCAAACACGAAGGGACTATGCAACTACTATATGAGTTGAACTTGAAGGCCTGTTTGGTGGACTGGATTGGATAAGACTTTTTCAATTAAAATGGATATAGGTCTAATATGTTGTTTGGTGGGCTTAATTGCATCACACACTGGCTTGGACTTAAATTCTTGTTTAGGATATGAATCCAGCATACGCTGGATATCAAAACCCACGTAGAGACATGGGTTTCGAAGACTACCTCTCGTCGTCTTCTTCGTTCGCTTCATCTCCTCTGCGTCATCTCCAGCGTCCTCTCCTCAGCGTCGTCTCTAATGTCCTCTCCTCAACGTCGTCTCCCTCAGCCACTTCTGGTCGTCTCTGCTCTCTCTCTCCTCTCCTCTCTCATCTCTCATCTCTCATCTCTCATCTCTCTTCTTCTCTCATCTCTTCTCTCTTTTGATTTTTCTTTTTTAAAATCTGATTTCTTTGTTTGTTCTTCATATTTTTCTAAGTTAGATATTGAGTGCTGTAGTTTTTTGGGTTTGATTTCTTTTGATACCTTTCATTGAAGATCTTTCAGATCTGTTCCCATCTAGAATTTGCATAATTTTATTTTTTGTTTGTATTTTCTATGATCTGAAAGTTATGTTGTAGATTTTTTTCTTTTGTTTCAAATTACCATTTTGGTTTTGGTCTACAATCTTTTCTCTCGAATAATAAAAAAGATAGATTTGCTTATGATAGAAAAAGAATGACCATTTTTCTTTTTCTGGTTAAAAATATGAATTTGGGTGGTTTACTATTTTGATATTGCTCCAGCGTGGGTTGATTCCTTTATGCTGGATGATCTGCTTGGTATTAGTAGAGCTCGTCTTGCTGGATGATCTGTTGTTGGGGTTTACCTTTCCTTGCCAAAAAGAAAGATGAAGTTTATCAGATAAAGAAGAATTTTAGATTAGAAAAAAAAAAAAAAAAAAAAAAAAAAAAAAAAAAAAAAAAAAAAAGAGATGAAGAAAGAAGAGGAAGAGAGGAATAAAAAAAAGAAAAAAGGAAAAAAAATGAATGCAAAAAGTTGGCAAAAAAAAATAAGCAATTTTGAATTTGAATTGATTTATTATATTAATAAAATAAAATAAAATATTGATTTATTAAAAAAAATGTTAATTTTAGTCTATTGTTTGGTGCAAAAATGAATAGGACTGGACTCAAAGCCGAGTAGTAGCCCAATTCAATGCTTCAAAGCCCATCCTAACCAGTCCAAACCAGCCCACCAAACGGGGCCAAAACCTCTTAGAACCAGCTATAAAATTTTTTTTTTTTTTTTTTTTTTTTTTTTTTTTTTTTTTTTTTTTTTTTTTTTTTTTTTTTTTTTTTTTTTTTTTTTTTTTTTTTTTTTTTTTTTTTTTTTTTTTTTTTTTTTTTTTTTTTTTTTTTTTTTTTTTTTTTTTTTTTTTTTTTTTTTTTTTTTTTTTTTTTTTTTTTTTTTTTTTTTTTTTTTTTTTTTTTTTTTTTTTTTTTTTTTTTTTTTTTTTTTTTTTTTTTTTTTTTTTTTTTTTTTTTTTTTTTTTTTTTTTTTTTTTTTTTTTTTTTTTTTTTTTTTTTTTTTTTTTTTTTTTTTTTTTTTTTTTTTTTTTTTTTTTTTTTTTTTTTTTTTTTTTTTTTTTTTTTTTTTTTTTTTTTTTTTTTTTTTTTTTTTAAAAGGTTTTCGATTGTGGATATTTCGTTGTCATCTCGGTACGTTCTTCGGGTGGTACATAGGTATTTATACCTATGGCCACCTCAAGAACTGTAGCGAGATGCTGGCGAAATTCATCCACGTCGAAATCTAATCTCATGTAGTCGTAGGTTACGTGGCAGGAGTATGCATTCCCGAATGGGATAGGACCCTTACCGGAGGCATAAGGTGACATTATAACTTCGTATGAAGTTGTTGTGATTGTTGTGTTGTGATTCTGGTTTCAGGAATTATGGACAGAAGGTGGATACAAAACCCTAACAGATGCGCAGACGAATACTTGGATGGAATCGAGGATTTTATTGAGTTTGCACGTAGACACAACCCGGGTGCAACTAGAATCCGTTGTCCTTGTAGGAGGTGCAACAACACGTTATGGGAGACAATTGAAAATGTTGGATTTCATTTAGTAAGAAATGGAATGATTGAGACATATAGCATTTGGAACCTTCACGGGGAACAATTAGAGCATGCTTCGTCTTCAAATGCCACAAGAGTGGACAATGTTCAACCTATTGTGGATGCTAATGATGAAGTCATGGATATTATACAGGATGTTTTTCCATTTGCATCGACCAACATGAATCAAGAAGAGCAAGATGATGTGCCTACACCAATAGACAGTGCGGAGTTTGAACAATATGAGAAATTGTTAAAAAATGCCAACCAAGAGTTATACCCGGGGTGCGAGAGCTTTTCCGTTCTCACGGCCATTGTGGAGCTAATGCACGGAAAAATAAAGTATCGTATGTCGAACCTGTGTTTCGATTACTTTTTGGGGGTTTTCAAGAGAATGCTTCCGACGGACAATTGTTTGCCGAAAGACCATAAACAGGCGCAGAAGGTGTTGAATGGTCTTGGATTGGGTTATGAAAAAATCCATGCTTGCAAAAACAATTGCATGTTATTCTACAAAGAGCATGAATCGTTGGATACATGTCCTATATGCAATGAGTCGAGGTTCAAGATGACATCTCAGAATAGGACGACTAAGATCCCACAAAAAGTCATGCGTTATTTGCCCCTGAAACCTAGGTTGCAGCGATTGTATATGTCGACGCATACTGCCACAGACATGAGATGGCATCAGGAAAAACGGGTAGACGATGATGTGATGCGGCATCCTGCAGATGGGGAGGCATGGAAAGAGTTCGATCGAACGTTCCCAGAGTTTGCTGCTGATCCCCGAAATGTTAGATTGGGACTTGCCACTGACGGATTCAATCCGTATGGGGTTCTAAACCAACACCACAGCACTTGGCCGATTTTCGTATTCCCATATAATTTGCCGCCTTGGAAATGCATGAAAAAAAGAATACATGATGATGACTGTTTTGATAACTGAGGATCCTGGGAGGTCAATCGATGTTTACTTAAGGCCGCTGGTTGATGAGCTAAAGGATTTGTGGACAAACGGTGTTCGCACGTACGATAAATCAACTGGGAAGATGTTCACTTTGCGGGCAGCAGTTATGTGGACTGTGAATGATTTCCCAGCATATGCAATGGTTTCTGGGTGGAGCACAAAAGGTTATATGGCATGTCCTGTATGCAAGGAAGATGTAACTTCTGGTTGGCATGCTGGAAAAGTTTGTTACCTTGGTCATCGGAGATGGTTGCCATGGGACCATGAGTGGAGGGAAAAAGATAAAGAGTTCGACGGGAACACTGAGCGTCGCCTTAGACCCAGAGAATGGTCCGGTGATGAGATATTGGACCAGCTGAACCGGTTGGATTTTGCTCCCTTCGGGAAAACAGTTAGTCGTATCAGACCTTCTACACATATGAACTGGACGCACAAACCTATGTTTTTTGAGCTCCCATATTGGTCGAAACTAAAATTGAGGCACAATCTAGATGTGATGCATGTTGAGAAAAATGTATTCGACACATTGGTGGGCACGATTCTAGATATCGAGGGGAAGACAAAGGACACGATCAAAGCTCGTCTTGATTTGGAAAGAATGGGCATACGAAGGGGTTTATGGATGAATAGGGACAATGATAAAGCTAGAAGGGATCTTGCATTCTTTTCTATGAAACCGAATGACAAGAAAGAGTTTCTAAAGTTTGTATCGTCAGTAAAGTTTCCCGATGGGTATGCTTCTAATATCGCACGTTGTGTGAATGTTGACGGGGGTAAATTTACTGGACTTAAAAGCCATGACTGTCATGTGTTTATGCAACGCCTACTTCCTGTTGGTATTCGACACCTATTGCCGGAAGATGTAGTGAAGCCAATCATTTTGTTGTCCAGATTTTTTTCCCAACTGACGGCGAAAACTTTGCGAAAAACGGACATGTTTCAGTTGCGCCATGACATTGTCCAAGTCCTATGCAAGTTTGAGATGATATTTCCTCCAGCTTTCTTCACAAGTATGATGCACGTGATGGTTCACTTGCCAGAAGAGGCATTACTTGCTGGTCCTGTCAACTATCGCTGGATGTATCCAATAGAAAGGTATATAATCCTTATCATTTGTGTATGCATCATTATCACATGCTTTCTAATTTCAATCATATCGTTTTATTTTGGCAGGCTTCTCGGAGAGCTGAAAAAAAGTGTACGCAACAGGGCGAAGCCCGAAGGATCAATCGTAGAGGCTTGGGTTCAATATGAGTCGCTTACTTTCTGCGGAATGTATTTAAAAGATGTGGAGACGGTTTTCAATCGTCCTCAGCGCAATCATGATGGAGGTATGAGAAATGAAAAACTTTCTGTTTTTGCCCAAAGCGCACGACCCTTCGGAGATCCTGGACGCGGAGAGTCGTTTTCTAGAAATGACATGGAGGTAGCGCATTGGTTCGTACTGAACAATTGTGATGAGATCATGGGATACTTATATGAGCATGAAGAGATGATGAAGCGAGAACATCCATCACATTTGGTTGCCCAGAAACACCGTAAATTGTTTCCACAATGGTTTTTGGATTCTGTAAGTTATCAGTGTTTGTTATTTGAGAAATATAAATTTTTTTAATAAATTTTGTCCGACTAACATATGAATGGTTTTGTATAATATTAGGTGAATAAGTTGAAATCATCGAATTCCCCAACTTACAGTGATGAGTTATATAACTTGGCGTTTGGCCCGATTCGCGCTGAATTGTTCTCGGGTTGTAATGTCAACGGTGTCAAATTTTTGGCCGAAGCACGAGATGACAAGTTGTGTACGCAAAACAGCGGTGTCCATGTCCCAGGTGGAGGCGAAAGTACGGACATTGATTTCTATGGCAAACTCACAACTGTCGTGCAATTGCTTTACAAAGATCGATACCAAGTGATCATGTTTAAGTGTCGATGGTTTGACACCAACCCAAATAGGCCGGGAAGTGTTAAAATCGATCATGGCTTACTATCTGTGAACATGAACAGAACTTGGTATGATGACGACCCTTATATTTTGGCAAACATGGCAACACAAATTGTGTATCTAGATGACCCTAAAGCCGGAAGCGGTTGGAACGTTGTTCAAAAGATGGATCACAGGAACGTGTATGCTATACCAGAACTAGACCCAACTGACAACAACGTCAACAATGTAGCTGACCAACGTTTAGAATCTTCAATGGAAAATGATGCGGAAACACTTCGAGATACTAATGTTATACAAGAGCCATTTCAAATACAAGGAGTGTCTTCAATCGAAATACCGATTCAGTCAATTACAATTGACCTCGGTGATCTTCCGCGATATGATGTTGCAGTTGGCCCGAGCAACGACGATGATGTAGTTATAGAGGAGGCGGAGGAGGAGGAGGAGGAAGAGGATTGGGAGACCGAAAGTGATGATAGCAACGATAACGAAAGTTATTATAGTTCAGATGATGAATGATTAATTTTTATTGTAATTTTATTATGTTATTAGACATATTTTGTGTAATGCAAATGTTTTCATATATGTACTTGTTATATCCAAACAATATATATGATACCAAGTGAAACATTATTATTACAATAATTGTAGTTATAAACCATTGGTAAATAAATATAGCCAACTAATTTGTATCATAAAGTTTAAATTTATTTTCACAAAAAATTTTAAAAAAAATGAAAACCATATAACCGAAAAAATGAATACAAAGAACATAAGATTAACAACAATCCTTCCATTCTCAAATCGAAAGAAAATATAATAAATCTTACTTTCATACAAGTAATTATATGTAATGATGAATACTTCAGATTAATAATATGTGGTTTGCGCGACGAAGACATAATTGTCGCGCAATTTTTGCGCGACGGATAATGTACACGTCGCGCATACTCTACCATTTGCGCGACAAATAATTTCGTCGCGCAAGTCTCTTTAGCGCGACGAAAAAGAAACCCCGTCGCGCAAACATATACATATATATATTTCTGATTTATACACACGTATATAGTTGAAATTGACGATCGAAGTAGTTCACTGTATTCACATAGGGTTAAACAGTATAGCTTTAAAAAATCATCAAAATCAGAGTCAAAATAACCGTTGAATCATGACTTTTCGTTTATAACCGTCGAAACGTTTTGTCCCGTTACTTGAGCTCTGAATGTTTTTTTTTCTCATTTTTGACGTATAAGATCTCGAAGTATAAACAAACATATTTGACGGCTAGATTACTGAAACTAGTTTCCTAGAATGCGTATTCCATAAAAACACAATATTCATAAAAACTGAATAATTTCTTTATACATTCCTTCAGTCTAATATAAGATTATGTGATGTCTTGTACTGTAAATATCTGAAATTGAAGATCGAATTAAATCTCTGTATTCATATAGGGTCAAGAACCGCAGCTGCAAAAAATTTTCAAGATCGGAGCTAAAATCACCGTTGAATCGGGACAATTTGTTTACAACCGTCGAAACGTTTTGTCCCGTTACTCAATCTCTGAATGTTCATTCATTATGATTTTTGACGTATACGATTTTGAACTATGAAAAAAGAAGATTGTCGGTTGGATCATTGAAACTAGTTCAGGAGTTCGGGTTTAGGGCTTAGGGTACCGGTTTTAGGGTTTGGGGTATGGTTTTGCGCGACGAATAGAAGCTTACGCGTCGCGCAAACCTTATGCGACAAACAGAATCCATTCGTCGCGCAAAATCAATAAAAAAATTTCCCTCTCCTCTCCGCTCCAGCACTTAGTGAAATTTTTTTATCCAATGCCAGTTTGCGCGACGAATACATTTCATTCGTCGCGCAAAATCAATAAAAAAATTTCCCTCTCCTCTCCGCTCCAGCACTTAGTGAAATTTTTTTATCAAAAGCCAGTTTGCGCGACGAATATCAGTCCGTTCGTCGCGCAAAATCAATAAAAAAATTTCCCTCTCCTCTCCGCTCCAGCACTTAGTGAAATTTTTTTATCAAAAGCCAGTTTGCGCGACGAATATTAGTCCATTCGTCGCGCAAAATCAATAAAAAAATTTCCCTCTCCTCTCCGCTCCAGCACTTAGTGAAATTTTTTATCAAAAGCCAGTTTGCGCGACGAATCACAGAGAGTGCGTCGCGCAACCTTTATTTGGAACAGCTAGCATGCGCGACGAAATTGGGATTCGTCGCGCAATCGCATTGCATTGATTTTTTCCCGCGCAAAATCAAATCCCAAAATTTTGGGCGGCTGCACAAGTATGCGCGACGACAGTAGTTTTTTCGTCGCGCAAGGTATATCTGTTCACACGTTTGCGCGACGAAATTTGTTGTTCTAGTCGCGCAAAGGTCCAATTTTATAACATTGCGCGACGAAAAGTTAATGTTTTCGTCGCGCAAGGGTTATTTTAATGACGTTTGCGCGACGGAAATATATGTTCGTCGCGCAAAGTCGAATAAGTTTTCTGAAAATCGCGATCTTCTCCTTCTTCCCCAAATTCTGAAACCTAACCCTAAAACCTCCCAAATCTCTCCGCCGTGACCTCAGCCCCTAATCCGCCCCAAATCAGACCCTGCCGCCGCCACCGTCGAACCCAGGAGCTTCTCCGCCGTGGCCGTCCATCCTGCCGCCGTGAATTGCTCGGTTTAGCCCGAATCTCCGCCGCCGTTGTTCTCTCTCCTCCGGGCACCAAATCCGGCAATTGAGGTATGCTTTTTGGCCTATTTTTCATGCTCTAGCTGATGGTTGTGTAGGATTTGATTGATTGTGTGCATAGGGTAGTCAATTTGAAACCCTAGGTTTCGGCCGGTTTTGAAATTCAAATTCCGGCCACTTCCGTCCGTTTTTCGGGGTAGGTCCGAGAACAAAAGTGGCTCCAATTGATGTTTTAAACCTAGGGTAGGAACCTTGCCCCTTAATTTGTAGGATTTCCCGGGGATCGTTATCTCTTAGGGCACCCACGCGCTGCCGGCGCGTGTGGTGGCGCGTGGGGTACTGTGGCATAGGGCTTTTTGTCCCAGTGCAAACCCAGAGATCGACGTCTTTGGTGACGTTTATGTTCGACCTGGGGATGAGTTGGCCGAGTCCCCTCATGTAAGTATTATGTATTTTTAATTCTTATGTTACACTTTCAATTTATATGCATTTTTGAATTTATATTTTATGTAATGTTAAACAGACGACGATGGTGGAGAGGAGCCAGTTGGTTCTTCAAGAGTCCGCCTCCCAACTTCCTCCCGAGACTCCGATCGAGTCTGTGGATCCTCCGCATGATGCTGGATTTCAGATTTTGACGCAGACGTTGGATCAGACTCTCGGGAGGAGGCCGGGAACGTATTGTAGGGGGATGGGGAATGCCCGACAGAGGGAACCTCGACCGCGGTCATCGTCGCAGGCAAACAGTCAGGTGACTGTTTTGACATCGCGGGTTGCCGAGCTTGAGGGTCAGATGTCGGTGATTCTGCAGTCGCTCGCGCGGTCCGGGATTCCAATCCCGAATTTTGGTGCGTCGACCTCCGAGCCCGTCCAGCCCGAGCATCCCCAGCACACCACGGCCCCTGCAGACGCCCATACCTCCGAGCCGCATACCTCCGAGCCGCATGTGGCAGATGACCAATTAGATTTCGGAACATTATTTGATTAGTTTGTTATTTTTATAATTTATTTTACAATTTGTATACATTTATTTTATTTTATATAATAGATGTTTTCTTTACGATTAATTTTTTTTAATTGTAATTTCATTTTAATTTTTAAAAAAAACAACATTTATTTTTTTACAAAATTAAAAATCAAATAATAATAAATTTTTTTTAATAATATATTGCTTTTGCGCGACGAAACGTAAATCGTCGCGCAAAAACATTTAAATATATCTTAATATTGCGCGACGAGTAATTTCGTCGCGCAAGATGTGTATGCGCGACGAATAAGATGTCGTCGCGCAAGGTTCATGTAGTTCGCGCGACGGACAATTCTGTCGCGCAGTTTTTTTTGCGACGACATCTGGTTCGTCGCGCAAATATTTGTGCGATGGACAATGAGGTCGTCCCAAAATGTTTTTTGAAACGAAGATGTTATACGTAGCGCAAACTGCGCGACGAATGACATTTGTTCGTCGCGCAAATCCTTTCTTCACGACCTTTGCGCGACGGATTGTGCGCGACGAATATTCTGTCGCGCATAATGATGTGCGACTAAAATCGTTTTTGCGCGACGAAAACCCTTTCGTCGCGCAAAGACTAAAATGTAGTAGTGAAAGATTCCGAATTCAAACCCGTTTAAGATAAAATACTGTAATATGTAAACTTGTGGTATAAAAAGTAATCAAATATGGTAAAACGGCTATCCTTACAACATGCCATCGTATTGACATTTATTTTTAGACAGGTACATAAAGTCTTGCGGTTGCCTTTACTAGGGCTGCAAGTAATCTTTAATTATGGTTAAATTGCATACGAAAGCTCCCTTGATCTCAGGATACACTGAGTTCACATTCTTAATTGAAATCAATGGAATATTTCGGAGTTTTGTCGGGGAAAAAGAGTCCCCAGTGTTTCTCAATCTCCGGCCCTGTTTTGTTATCCTCATTAAACATGGCAAAGATATAAGTCTCTACAGGGCTTCCAGGTCTCTTTGGAGTCCCGCCCTTCACATGCTTAACCAAATTTGAGTTGTAAGTTCTCGCGTTCTCTTTTGTGGTCACTTCGCCATCGCCACCTGCCGAGGGCCAACCACTTTCCGATACGACAAGTTTCAAAGAACCGCCTCCGGCTTTCTCTAATGCTTCATAAACTGCATCCAAAATTGCATCAAACAGATTTTGATATCCAAGCTGACCATCCTGTACCACAACTGTCGATATTCAGGGTTGAAGAAGGCTTTTGACGGCGGGTAGGATTCGTTGAGAATCGCGGTGTAAACCGCGGTGGAGACTTTAATTTGGGTTGCAAGACCGGCGGCAGAAACTGCTTTTTGAATATTTTCCATTGCAGAAGCAACAAACGGAGCGAATGGACCTTTGGGATCTATTTCGTTCCCAACCACGATGTATTTGAAATTGACATTTCCGTAGGTTATGACATTACTTTGGATCCAAGAATCTGCACTGGCTTGGCTAGAAGAGATGTCTTTAAGGCCTTCGTTGGGTACATCGAGCATGAGCTCAATGTTGGAGCCTTTAAGGGCTTGAAGAGCCTGTGGGTTAGGATCATAGAGCCTCATTTTTTGGATGCTATATTGGTTGTACATAGAGATTACTTCTTGTGCGGAAGGTAAGTTGTCTCCAAGTGTTCCATAACAAACACCAATCTTTGCTCCTGTATCAAGAATTATGAACTTAGTTATTTTCATAGCAAATCAAAAAAAAAAAAAAAAAAAAAAAAAAAAAAAAGAGAGAGAGAGAGAAAGAAGCCTTGCAATTTTTAGTCTAACACTGAGAAATAAGCATTGCAGCCTTTGATATTTGGAGAAGCTATGA